CAGACACCAAATCCCATGGTGCATAGATTAAGGATTTCCCAGATCCAGGTCTATGGTATTTTTTTTTCCTTTTATTGAGTTTATTGGTACATTTTAGGTATACAGTACAATTACATTCATTATTGGAATCTTGCACCTTTACATGACAGGTCTTGGTTCTCGTTTTTTTCCCCCTTGTCCATGCCCTCCCTTCACCTCCCTTCCTCTCCCCATTTACAAACACTTTATTTCCATTTTTTCATTTTATCAAATTTTTTTTTCTTTTCCCTTATTACCTTTCCCCTACCTTTCCCATTTTCCCTACACCTTTAGCCCTTTTCTTCCTATTTCACATGGTCAATTATCTCATTAGGATCTTATGTACTATTATAGCTTTTCATACCAGAGAAACTATTTGGTATTTACACATATGACTTATTTATTTCACTTAGGAGTATATCCTCAATATGTATCCGTTTTCCTATGAATGAATCTAATTTCTCATTCTTTATGACTGAGTAGTATTCCATTTTATAGAAAAACCACATCTTCTTTATCCAGTTTCCAACTGATGGGCAGATGTTTCCAAGTTTTAGCTATTACAAAATGTGCTGCTATAAACATGGGTGCACATATATCCCTGTGGTATGATTCTTTTAATTCTTTTGGAAAGATACCCAACAGAGGGATGGCTGGGTCAAATGGAACCTCTAATCCTAGTTCTTTGAGGTATCTCCATATTGACTTCCATAGTAGTTGCACCAGTCTGCACTCCCACCAACAATGAAGAAGGGTTCCTTTCTCCCCACAACCACACCAACATTTGTTGCTGTGTGATTTCTTGATAGCAGCCATTCTTTGTGGGGTGAGGTGAAATCTCAGTGTTGTTTTCATCTGTATCTCTCCAATGACCAGTGATGTGGAATTTTTTTCATATATTTACTTGCTGCTTTTACTTCTTTGTCTGAGAAATGTCTGTTCATTTCAGATGCCCATTTTTGAATTGGGTCTTTATATTTGAAGGGGCTGGTTGTTTTGAGCTCTTTATATATTCTAGATAATAGTCCTTTGTCTGAGGAGCAGATGGTAAAAATTTTCTCCCACATTGTAGGTTGTCTCTTAGTTCTGTTGATGGTTTCTTTTGCAGTGCAGAAGCTTTTTAATAAGATGAGATCCCAGTTGTTGATCCTTTCTGCTAGTTCCAGTGCTACTGAGGATTTGTTCATAAAGTCTTTTCCTATGTCAATGCCTTCCAGAGTTCTGCCTAACTTATTTTCCAGCAAGTTTAGTTTTTCTGTTTTTATATTTAGATCTTTAATCCACTTGTATTTTAATTTAGTGCATGGTGACAGATAAGGATCTAGTTTTAATCTTTTGCAGGTTGAGATCCAGTTTTTCAAACACCTGGCTCTATGGTATTTTGATATAGAGCAAGATGGACTAAGGCTGATGTGTTTATCAGTCCAATGGATACAGCTGTGGAAAGGAGTCTATGAGCTTGGACCTACATTAATAGGACCTTCTCAAACTCAAAGAAAAAGAAAAGAATGAAGTACGTGGGAACAGAATACAGAAGTATAATTACCAAAGGGGTAACATAGCATAATGACAGTATCAGAAGGAGAACCAGAAAAAGAAAGAGAAAAAATAGTAATGGCTGAGAAGTATTCAAAGTTTACGATAGATACCAAACCAGATCTAGGAAATACAGAGAAAACTGAATAGTATGAATGCCAAATAATCTACATATAGAACTGCAAGAAATGAAAAACAAACAAAATCTTGAGAGAAGACGAAGGGAAAAAACCTCACTTTAGGTACTGAGAAAAAAGCCAAGAATATTATTTTGGATGTTGGTCAGAGGGCACACAGAGGATTAAGTCCTGAATTTCTATTTTATAGAAAGGTGTCTATAGCTAATAATACCACATTACATACTTGAACATTGCTAAAAGAGTGGGCCTTAAATGTTTTTAACACATACACACACACACACACACACACACACACACACACACACACACACACACACACACACACACACACACACACACACACAGATAATTATGTGAGGTCATGGCTGTATTATTAGTTTGATTGTGGAAATCATTTCACAATGTATTTTGTTCATCAAAGCACCACACTGTATACAATAAATAAATCTAATTTTATTTGTGAATTATACCTCAGTAAGGCCAGAAAATTTTCAACCATCAGGTTATTAAAAATATATGACATTTATTTATGATGACTCAATGGCAGGGATGTGGATAAACAGACATTATAATAACCTAATGCATCTATAAATTGTTGCAAACCTTTTGGAAATTAAGAGGATGTACACATGTGTGCATGTGTATTTCTTTTTTTTCTTTTTTTTGGTACCGGGGATTGAACTCGGGTCCTTGGGCTTGTGAGCGAACCGCTGAGCTAAATCCCTGGCCCTATGTGTATTTCAATTTTATATTTGTGTTTCCTTTAATCCAATAAAGTCATTATCAGAATTAATCTTAGGGAAATGATTACATAACTTTGGAAAAACAGCTCTTTCCAAATTCATCATATTATTGTTTTTGCAAGACAAACAGAAACAATCCAAGTTAAATTAGTTTAATTAAATAAATTCTTTTTTATGTATTTAATGACATACTGTACTACCATTGAAATAGATAAAGCATAATTTTAATCTTTATCATGTAAAATGTCGTGGGATGTATAGGAAAAACAAGAGATCACTGACATGAAATATTCTTATCATATATGCTTAAAATCTCTGGAGGAATAAACACAAAATTCTTCAGTGCTGTTAACTTTGAATTTTGGTTCAAGGAAGGGACACTTGGATTTCAATCTTGACAAAATGATACCTGAATGCTTCCAGTCTTGGGTATAACGTGTCTGAATAATTTTAAATAAATGTATTTACATGGGGGAACCCTGCAAATGGGACAATTACAAAGGGAACTCTCGGAGGAAATATAATTCTGCATCCCTGCGCTTTACACACATTTGGTAGGTTGGCCCCAAAGGCAGGGAGGCTGAGGACTTGTTGGCTGAGGGTTGCGGAGGGTGAACTCTCAACATGCACATCCTTTTCGCATCTTCCAGTTGTCAGTCTCACTCTATTTGACTGTGTCCATCTCCTAGTCAGAGGAGGCAAAAGAGGAGTTCCCAGATGGCTTCATATCATACCTTCAGGAAAACAAATGATTTTTCCTGGGGGAAGAGGGGCTCTCAACAGCATCAAAGGTGTAGAAGCTGATCATCAGATGGCCACACACTGATGGAAAGTGATTCCATGGGATGAATTTTATTTTATTTTTTATTTATTTATTTTTTTTGGAATGAATTTTATTTTCATCTCCCATCTCTGCTCATTCTTCTTTTATTCTATGCCCAGTTTTTACCTCCCTGGCATTTCTGAAGCATCTTTTTTGCCACCCTGAGTTGTCCTATCCTTCCTCCTTTCCCCATTCTCTCACGGCATCCCTTCCCTCTCTTCTGTCCTTCTTTTTCTTCTGTTGGTACTGAGGGTTGAACCCAGGTCCTTATGTATGCTAGGTACATGCCAAACCACTGAGCTCCATTCCTGGACCATATCCTTCCTTCTTACCTCTTTGGCTCACCATCCTGTTCCATTTCTCTTTGTATCTCCATATTAAAGTTGTTTCCTAGGGAGGCTGGAGAGTGTACAAATTGGGAATGGATGGACGAAGGCTAGATACACATCAAGATGAGTAAATCTTTGGGTTGGAGCTGTACTGATGTATTAACAAAATAAAGTTAGAAAGAGGTATCTCTAAAGGCTGAATAGTTAGAAATAGGATAATGAAAAAGAGAAGGGCAGATAGAAAAAAGATGTAGTGTATATTTGGTAAACATAGGAAATGTTAGGGAGTTATAAGTAGAGATAACAAACTCTAAACCATTTTTAAAGACAAATTTTAATGAACATGTACAACGCCTTTGTATACTTTCAATTAAATAATTAACTAAGTCCATGAAAGAAAGAAGAAAGGGAAAGAGAAGGAGAGAGAGAGGAAGAGAGAGAGAGAGAGAGAGAGAGAGAGAGAGAGAGAGGGAGGGAGCAATAGAGGGAGAGGAGGGGGAAAAGGAGAGGGAGGGGGAGAGGGAGAGGGAACTTCTTAGGACCTGGTTGTAATACAAATACATACTGTTTCAAAAGCTTTATCATATGTTTGAGGAAGGTAAATTATCAAATAAGAGAAAAAGACATGGTGGGAATAAATAAATATATAAATATAAATACTGACCTCTTGTTTTGAAAGATGTATACATCAATGTAATTTCTGTTCATTAGGCCTTTTCCTTATCTAGACTGCTGCTGCCATCTACATAAGCACGAGATTCTTATGAGATAGTAGGGAAAAGAACTGATTTTCTTCAGGTGAAAGGTAAACAGCTAAATGAGAGAATCTTTGGCACTGAGCCAATGTTTAACACATTTTTTCCCCACACTCTGATCTGGAGGAACCGCACACCAACATTAGAAAGATGATTTGCAGTGATGTTCTTAGTTCTTAGACTGTAACAAACCCAGTCTGCGTGGGAACGGCTTTCCACATATTCAGGGTGGCTAAAGCATCCATTCAGAAAGCTGGTAACAGCCACGTATAAGGCAGCCACTGCCCCAGGGTCTTTGCTTGGCAAGATCTAACTTCATATCCTCCATAACTGTTTCTCTCTGTAGTACTTCCTGTTGTGTAATATGCCATATGGGATTCTTATTTACGATATGGAATTTTATACCATGTGAATTTCATGAGTGCAGACGTGTTTATTCTGCTCACCAGTTCTCTAGAAGACTGGGTTGTGGGAGTGATTCAGTAAACATTTGTTGAATAAATAAAAGAAGTAGGCTTTCCTTGGAGGACAAATATATAGCACCAATCCTCAGGCATCAGGAAATGGGAAAAAATGTTGTAGGCCGTTTTTATTACTGTCTTCCTGCAAAATGTTCCTGTCCAGAAAAGGAAGGAAAGGAGGGACCCTATCATCTCTCAGGGCAGTGGCGGTCTCCCTACAAAGACTCGCCTCAGGGCACTCTGAACATCAGGGTTTCTGAGGCTGTAGATGAGTGGGTTTAGCATGGGGTTGATGACAGTGTTGAAAATCCCTACCCCTTTATCCTTGTCTGAAGCCTCCTCTGAACCCAGGCGCATGTAGTTGAAGATACCTGTCCCATAGAAAATGCAAACCACAGTGAGGTGGGAGCCACACGTGGAGAAGGCCTTCTTCCTGCCCTCTACTGAACGGATCTGTAGAACTGCAGCTGCTACATGGATATAGGAACTGATGATGAGAACCACAGGTGTGCCTGCCATTATGAAACCCACAGCAAAGAGCAGCAGCTCATTGAGTTGGGTGCTGGAGCAGGAGAGCTGGAAGAGCTGTGGGAGGTCACAGTAGAAGTGATTGACCTCTTTGGGACCACAAAAGTCGAGGGTAGTTAAGGCAATAGTGTGAGTCAGTGCATTGGTGAAGGCACACATCCAGGACACAGCCACCAACATCCTCTGGACTGTCTGTCTCATGCGGGTGCTGTAGGTGAGGGGCCGGCAGATGGCCAGGAATCGGTCATAGGCCATGGCTGTCAACAGGAAGCAGTCTACACCCGCCAAAAGGTGGAAGAAGAAGAGCTGCGTGAGGCAGGCATCATAGGATATTGTACGCTTGTGGGACACAAGACGACCCAACATTGAGGGAATAGTGACGCTGATGCACCCAACGTCTAGCACTGAGAGATTCCCCAGGAAGAAGTACATGGGGGTGTGGAGTTTGGGCTCCAGCAAGACAGCTGCCAGGAGGCTGAGGTTGCCCCCAACTGTGACCAGATAGGCAAAGAAGAAGAGCACAAACAGAACAGATTGCAGCTTCTCTGTTTCTACTAGGCCTAGTAGGATGAACTCGGTGATAGCTGTCCTGTTAATCCCAGCTTCTGGATCCATTAGTCGCTTTAAGAAAATGTCCTAGGAAGGAAAAAATGAGGCCATTCACTCACTTATTTAACGAAATCCTTTAAAGTGTCTATGTTCAAAGCCCCATAGTGATGTTTCAACCTTTTCAAGTGAATATTTTCTCTCCCTTCAGGCTGCATCTCACTCACTGACCTCATCAGTCACCTAAGGCTTTAATCTTGTTCTTAGTTGAGATGCGCAGTGCTGCCACCACCTCTTCACTGCCACCGTCTTCCACATTAAAAAAGTAGACTATCTGGAAAAATACTTTAAAAGTGGACTTTTTTAAATATAATGAGATTTAGGTCTGGGGATTAGTCTCAGTGGTTCCGGTGCCTGCCTTGAAAGCACAAGGGCCCAAGTTCAATCCTCAGCACCACAAAAACAAAAACAAAACAAATATAATGAGATTTAGATGGAATTTTCCAATTTTCCTCTATAGTATCAAGCTAAACCAATAAAAAATTACAAAAATTAATATATTCAGAGAAACTAGAAAGTGTTTAAAAACATAATCTAATTTTAAAAACTTCTAGAAATAGTGAAGATCGTGTGTGGTAAGAATCAGAGAGAAGGTACCCGTGACTGTGAATGTTTGAAAGATCAGGCAAGTACGTTTCTCCAAAGCGAGAGACCGTACTCTGAAGTGTACATTCAAAATCTCTCGTGTAAGAAATCAACAGTCACTTCTCTATAGTGCAGCTATCTCTATTTCTCTGTGAGTGATTTAAGAACAGAGCAAATGCTTAACTCATTTTATAAAAGTAGCAATATTCATCGTAATACTTTCTGCCTGGGAGGTACCCAGTATTTCTGAAACACAAGTGGATGACTGAAATGTCCCATAAGATCCCAATGAAAGAGAGCAGCTGATATGGATGGCTTCTGGTCATATTGGAATGTGGACTAGACCTTTGTGGATTAGTAGGGCTTAAGGGAGGTATAGTGTAAGTACCAGGTGCAAGATTGTTGCAGGGGACAAATTGTACAGGAGTTCCTCACTGATTTGTTCCTCTTCACATTAACTGCTTCCTAATAATAAGAAAGTGTCCATTTTACAGACAAGTGAATCATAGACAAGACAGAAAACAAGTGAAGTGGCTGTTGCCCACTCTTACATGGCTTGACATGCAGGGCTGTTAATATCAGTAAGATTCCAAGATGACCTCTGACCTCACCTCAGTTGTCTGGAATGTCCTACACAGTCACCTCAGATCTCCTGAGAACACTCCTGCATGGCCACTCTCAAGGCTCCCCTCACCAAGTGGTGACAGCCCTGCTCTGAAACTCCATCTGTTCTTACATACTCTCGGCCATAGTTCAACAAGGTCTTCAGGCGAGAGAAGCTTCTAGGCTGCTTTTTGCAAGGGGGATCTGGGCAGTGCACCAAACTCAGCCAACCTCTCCTATTCACTCATAAAAGTAAGAGACAGCAGACTTCACCTGAGCAAATGAAAACAGAAAAGAAACCTTTGACTATCATCCTAACCTTTCTCCTAAAGTGTTCTTTCTTTTCAGGGGCATTGTTGTACCATGGATAATGCCAAGATTGAACAGCAGCCCCTTCTCTGTTTTGTAAAAGCAGAAGGGCCTGTGGGAGCACTCACCTTGAATGGGCAGAAGATCCAACTAGATTACTCCAGGAAGGAGAGGAGCTGTGGAGTCCCAGTTACCTACCTAGAGAGTAAGAGAGGGGCTGTATGTCTGGAGAATAAACATGGTAAAGCTAGCTGATATCTCCCCTGTCACAAGGCTTTCTGCATTACAGTGTTGTCCTCTGGGTGACTCATAAATGAGCTCTCCAGGGAAAAAGGAGAAGGATGGGGAAAGAGATGTTAAAAGAAACATCTCAAGTTCTTCATACATGTGGAAACAGCATCTAAAACTTTCAAGTACTGAGACTTCCTCGAGCCCTGGCTTTAAGGGTCGGGGATGAGGTCATAATTTTGGGATCATAAACCATGGAGGACTTGTCCATAATGTCAGAGTCTTCCACGAAGTGAGAGGTGCAGTTGGGGACTAGGTATGGTTTCTCAAGAGAGGGTTTTTCTTCCTCCCTCAGATGTAAACCCAAGGTCTTTGAGCAGAGACAAGACAATGTATAGACTTAGCTTGGACATGAGGAGGAAGAGGAGGCCACAAGAGGGAAGTAGGACAGAGAAAAAATTTTCTTGAAACCTGGCTTCCTAAAGAGTTCTCCAAAATGCAGTGCTTTCTCTCTCAGGGCTTTGTTAGGTAGGGGCCACTGGGAGTATGCCACAGGGCTCTTTGGAGATTCTAGTGGTGGAGGAGCTGTAGTGTGCTAGATGGTCTCCTGGGAAGGTATCTATACACATGGTTTTTAAAGCTAGGCCTTTAGAACTTGAGAATGTCACCGATTAATGAAGATGTGGGAGGTTGAGTGGTGATCATCTAACTCCTATTCCCATTAACATATCTTCACTCAACACCCCTCTCCCAAGAGAGTACCCCTTCTTCTTTCTCCAAGGAGTGTAGTGCTATATCACAAAGTTTGTAGCTAGTTTTTACCAGTTATTAGCGGTGTGACTTTGTGTAAGCTACTGAGTGCTTCTGGGCCTCAATTCCACACCTACGAAGTTATCGTATCCTCTACAAGGCAGTGGTATGATCATTAAAACCACAGAATAATTAAATGAAGTAAGATTCATTCAGTTGCTAGTAGAGATTAGACAGTACATCAATGTATGAAGTGATAACCTTAAAGAGTACTTGTTACACTTGGGGTCATGTTCTAAGCACTTTACAATGCTAAAGTCACTGTCAGTTCTCAAAATTTTGTGACATGGACTATAGCAGATAGAGAGATATTCTGACCCACGTCTGCTTAGCCATGGCTGTAGTGGAAGTTCCCTGAAAGCTTGTACTCAATGCAAGCTGACAGTGAAACCTCTTCGTGGGGATCCTTTGATGCCATGAACAGTGGCGAGGGACACACTTTTCCATCTGACCATATGTGGGGCTCAGGAGAACAGTGGCACTTTGACAATGAGAAAAGGAGACAATGGGTAGGTGCCTTACCCTTTTCTTCACATAATTCTGGAGCCATACCATGCTCCTCAGTGAGGCATAGATCTTCTCTCTCTCTCTTGCTGTCTTTATAAACCACGTTTACTCCCTAGAACCATTTTAGAAATAAATACCCTCACCTGTGCTCTTTGAGATGACTTCCTGGTTAAACTACACACACACACACACACACACACACACACACACACACACACACACACACACAGAGGTGGAGGGGAGGGAGAATTTTTACACACACACACACACACACACACACACACACACACACACACACACACACACAGTGCTGGCAGGAATAGGGAGAATAACTATTCTCTGGGTGGAATTGTGGAGCATATTCACCAGTGCTGGGGTAAGCAGTGTTGATGATAATTCCCATCACATGATAGCATCATAATTTCTAAGTCTCACTGGTGGATGAGGTGCAGATAGCAAAATACTGATGCACATTAATGGCATGGGAACCATGGCCACTGTCAAAATTATAAAAATGTGAAGAATAGAGATAGCTTTAGTTAACTTCCTCACAACACTTGAATAAACAGAATAATAGGCCCAAGTCAGCCAACTACCAACCCAGGGTGCATTGTGTAAGCCAGAAACCTTCTGCAGTGACATTTGATGGGCCATGACTCTTTCTCAGCCACATGACTTAGCCACGTGACTTAGTGGTAAGATGGAAACCCTAACCTGGGAGGCCGAGTGCATGGCATCAGAGGTCTCTGTGCCACATTCTCAGAGTTTTCAGTCAGAGGTTTTGAGATGGGAATATTATCCTGGGTTACTGGGTGGGGCCTAAAGGTCATCACAAGTGTTCTTCTAAGAGAGGCAGATGAGTACTTGACTACAGAAGAGGAGAAGGCAAACTGCTGAAGCAAATGAAGATGGGAATGATGTGGCCCCAACCCACAGATGCCAGAAGTCGCTACGACTGGAGACGAGGAATAGACTCTTCCCTGGAGTTTTGAAAAAGAACCAGCCCTGCAGACACCTTGAAGTGAATGAACTATGTAGGACTCATTTTTTTGCCCCAGCAACCATGAAAAAACCCCCAAAATAACCAAAACCAAAAAAACAAAGCTGTTGTTTTAAGCCACTAAGCTTGTGATGATTTGTTACAGCAGCAGGGATGAGCTGATTCACTCACCATCCCATCCTGCTAGAAGAAGAAGCTCTTCCGGTGCATGGAAGAGCAACAGTCAGAGTGGACCCTGGGGGCCAAGACAGTGCGTGGAATGAAGGGTACACAGTGGGACTTAAGTGACAGGCGAGCGTTTTTTTTCACAGCTCAGAATGTAACTTCCTGGCAAGAATGCCTGCAACTCATCCTAATGAAATGCTGAGATGTTTTCTTGAAGCTTGGGGTGAGAAGATGGTGGAGAGGGCAGCAGTGCCTTTGAAAGATCCTGAGGAAGGAGTCGGAAAGCTTAGGGCGTAGGAACTCAGGGGAGCAGAGGAACCTTTGCTTGATGATGTTTCTGCAGAAGGACCTTTACTAAAGAAATAGGAGATGCACTGGTGAGGAGAAAAGGGAAAGAACAGAAACTCTGTGTTCTCTGTCCTATTGTTTTAGATTGTATTTCTCTGCTGACTGGTGATGTTGAACAGCTTCTCTATCTTCTTTTGTGAAGTATTTTTTAAACATCTTTTGTCCACTTTTACTGCACTTTTGGTCTTCCCCCTAGACTTGTAAGAGCATGAAAGTGTCTATCTGGTATCATTTTCCTGAAGAATTTTACAGAATTTCTTGTAGCGCACTTTTGGTAGCAACAAGTGACAAATTCGCTTAGTTTTCTTTGATCTGGAAATGTCTTTATCTGTGGTCAGTTATGTAGGATGTTTTCACTGGACACAGAATTCTATTTATTTTTATTTATTGGTACTGGGGATTGAACTCGGGTCCTTGTGCTTGCAAGGCAGGCTGCGGCACCACTGAGCTAAATCCCCAGCCCGAC